TGAGGCATGTACAATGCACATGTGCAATAGTCCTTCTTTGTTAAACAAGGACATACAAATCACTGTACAAACCGTGAGTGCACAGGAATCGGGGAATTTCGGAACGGGAAGGAAAAAAGAGGAGGAATAAATGAAACACGGGATGCAAGGGGAGGAGGGGAGGGGACCGGAGCGATCAAAACTACTTGTCCGTTCCAGATGCTGCTGCTGCACCGGATTCCGTGTAGTGGCGATATTCCGGTTTCAGTTCCCACATGTTTTTATGAGGTGCCCGAGGGTTGAAGATTGCTATCTCCTTCAGAATCTCAGTCAAATAGTTCTGTAAAAGCATCCAGACAAATCCCACGGAAAGAAGACCAGTGAGGTGAGGGATGGAAGNNNNGATGGAAGGAACGATAGATAACCGGTGGAATCAAGTGTCATATAGATGAAAACACTATACATGTTGCAGCAATATAAACTATCAGAAAACCACCTCCACACTAAACTACGCCGGTAACCCACTTGGTCCTGGAAACAGTAAGAGCAAAGCAACAGTTAATAGGCCTTGTCGCCCTACTACAAAACTAAAAAGGTTTACGGGGTGATAGTATTGTTAATTTCACAAGGTAAATTGAAATAACAACTAGCACCTCAAGCAGAGTATAATTCCGGAAAAAATTAACCAACATAAACATTTCTATTCTTAGATATATACTCGACCACTGTGGAACCGTATACGAGAAACTGACCGCTAAGCTCCTGTCTCATACGTATCACAATTCACAAACCTCAGGCTGTAGAATGTGGATGAACTGTACCATGACTGCCGCTTCCCCTACTCACGTCTTGCAGCAGCCTCCCCTTCATCTTTTCGAAATATTGGCTGTATACGGGGATGTGTATCAAATGAAAAGTGGCAGACGATTATGATTAACACTATTCTTATCAGTGTGCCCCCAAAGGCCCCGAATTCTCGAAGGGTGAACGATGCCCTACCCACGGAATACTTCCCTTGAAGCACCTACTGAAAAAGACTGTCACCTTACACAGAGAGAGAGAGAGACTATAGACTGGTCCATGGGTCACATGTAGCCCACTCAACTAGGGTAGTTGAAAAAAGCTGACCTCAAACCTCACTATAAAAGGTGTACGAATTGGGTCCAGGTTACCTCGAATGTGATTGGTCGATGAGATAAAATCAACCTCGTGGACGAATCAACAAAATCTTTGGGGGCGTAAGAGTTAGCTGGCAGGATTAGCATGAACAGCATGAACGTAACATGCTAAAATTAACACGTACCAGCGGTTGTTTGGTTAGCAGAACCAGATCACGAATAGTATAGTACTGATGCCGTTCGAATGCTTTGAACAAATCTTGCATAACATCTTCTTTCTCGCGACGCAAGTTTTTGCCTTCCGCTTTCTTCCGTGCCTCGTACTCGATCTGAATAGAACAAAAAATAGAGGAAGAGGATGAAATTGAGGGAGTACTGTGCAAAAGCAAAATAGCTTAAAAAGATGACTGATCTGCAATCCCCTAAGGATCTTGATTTTCAAAAAAGAGAAAACCATAACACAAATGATTATCTTACCGCTAACAAACGCCTTTATCCAAGTTACATTGGTTTGAGCGTACCCCTGTTGAATCGTTCTGGATTCGTCGGACCGTCATTTACAGTGCTGCTTATTGCTAGAATCAGTGGTTGTGGTGCGGTGTACGAAGTGGCTGATTGGAGTCGCATAAATCTGCGCTGATAGATTGTTGTATCCCTTGATGCATATCCCATCGTTTAGGTCTCCGTCACTTAGTCAACTCTTATCTGTTGTCCCATAACGCCGGAGTGTGCATTGATGGCGATGTTTGAAGAAAAAGAGCCCTTGACAGCCAGCATAAACTCCATGACACTGGAGTTGTGTACTGTACCAAAATACTTAAACATGATTTTCATCAATTCATATTCTCGACTTCGAGGGGCCAGCCGATGGTTGATTCATTCATTACTCAGAATTAACATACTCTAGTTTAGAAATCCAAAGAAAATACATATCGCGAGATGTTAGTATTTCATTTTATTTTCTCATTCGCTGACGTAAAACAAACAAGCATATCTGTCTTTTTCCGGTCTTCGTGTAGATAGATAAAAGAGGATCCAGTGTTTTAGACTCTAAGGTATATATTATGCTTTCCGTTGATTCATCGTGTGACTACTCGATGAATATGTCATAGTAAAGCATAACCGAGTTGATATAATTGACCATCTTTCAGATTTCATCTCCATGCGCAATCAGTTCAGTTCATCAACTCAGAGCAAAATGAACTGATTGACTGTCACTGAATATACAACACCTCAAGAAACTTGAGTTAGTAATTCTGTCAAGCGGTAACACACACGCCTTCTATGCGTGGGGTCCGGAGTACAGATTTCAGACGGGACGACAGATATGCACTACTGATGAGCTCAAAAAAGAACGAAACCCGAGTCTGGTGCTTACATATGCAATGTATGACTGAATTAACGGGACTGTGGGTGAAGATACAATCAGTCTAAATTAATACATGTAACAGTTAGTTCAATAGTTCAAAATTTTAGTGACAATGATTTAGTTGGTTGAGTAACCGATTTCAACAGATAAGTACATAGGGATATTTTCAAGTCCACTTTAAATCCCGCACAATCTGATCAATGACGTGACCTACATTTTTCGAACAAATCAACACCAATTCACATGAGTGGTTGTTTTGTTTTCCCCTAGGTCACAGGTCTCAGACAAGTGACTGTCTGTTTTACACAATACAGTACAGCTTACATTTTGAAGTGAAATGTAAGCATATGAGCTTCCACAAGTTATACAAATACAAATATAGTACTCTTTTAAGCCGACCGCATGGATGGTTTTATTGGTTGCTGTCTCCTGCTGGTGCTGTCTGACACATGTCGGAACAGTTTGATGTGAAGACATTTGTGGCATATACTGGCTGAACGATACACACAAGCACACATAAGATCAAGACTTTCGCATAGCCCGAATGGTTCCCGCATAGTTTCAATTTTAACAGCCTTGCACTGTCATACAGTGACCTTGGGTGCTGCTGTTTTTCGGTTACCTATTTAGTCAATCAATGAGAAAGGAGCAGATGAAAGCGTTAAACACCTGAAAATTCTCTAATACAAGAATAATCTAGAAAGTGCGAAAATTAAATCCGAGACGATGCGAGCAGACACATCAATATATTCATGAGAACTGATTGTTTCATTCTTGACCGAGGTTACCATTCAAAATGCCCGAAAGTAAACACGGTCCTGTGCTCCTAGATTTATGAATCAACATTCAAACTCGTGAGTCTTCGCGACTTGAAAGATGTATCCAGCATTGTATCGAAGTAAGCATACGTGAATATTGTGGACCATCTAGAAGTTTCACAGAAATTACCCCAAGTAGGTGAAGGCGAAAATTAGTAGCACACGGGTTACAAAATAAACGATGAAAAAGGGTATGGGGGAGACTCACATTGTTGATGTGGTTTGATACCGGTTTGTAGTTTCGCACCGGTGCATCAAGCAGACGAACTTCGTGTTTCGCCCGGTTCATAGCTTTCAACTACGCGCAAGAGCGGACACGTGGATGTGAGGTATAAGGAAAGAAGGATAGATATACGAGAGTAATACACACACATTGCTATCTAACCGGTAGAAGCATGTGCATTACATCGGATTGGAAAAAGCACGATCTCAACGAAGCAACAAAAAGAACTAAAACAGGGGAACGTGTGATTACCATTGAGGAAAATGTGACGAATAGTTTGCAAAGAGAACGATTTTTTGTTTGCATAATATTTGCATAATATTTTTAATATTGTTTTGTATTTATTCACCCTTATATGGGGGACGGGCACTCAACGAACAATCCGAAACGGTGTTGGCGCCACTGATTTCGCTTGGGGCTATTTATCCGTGTCTTATAACATTTGTCATCTCTTGGGCCTCAATATGGAAGGTGAGCTGTACGAGCCGAAGCCAACTTATACTCCAACGCTAAATCAAGGTTTGACCGAGGCATCGGTTCTTCCAGACTTGCCCAATACGTGCAAAGGAAGCCCGGAGAGGTTGAAGAAATAAGTATGTGTGACATTGGTTAGACCCTTATGTTCACTTATTTATAATCATCGTTGTCTGTGCTTCCAAGCGAGTAGCTACTACGAGACGATAAGTTGTGAAAGTAATCTGAAGCTAGGTCACCCAAGGTTTTAACTCAATAGAGAATACGCATTCGGGTGGCGTATACTGACTCACGTCTGTCTGGGCAGCGGAAGAATACTTTAATTTCTAAGTGGCGATCTCTTGGCTTCTTTAGCTCCGACAGAGGCTTTCTGAGGACATGAACAAACTATTGTGGACGGTATCGCTGCAAGAGTGCGCACTGACTTTCGATATTGATATCATGGCAATGAACGTCTTCGTTCGAAACACAATCATGTCATTTTATTTTTTGCTAAGAGACGTAGATGCCATTGGCCGAAGAGCACCAGCATCATAATGCCTTGGGCTCTTAAGGAACATGTTTTACCGTTGTATTTGAGAATGGAAAGCATGGCGGCTCGGTAAATGGGCGAGTTGGCTTTGAGTCTTACCTTGCTGCGAATGCATAATGGTCTTCGCAGTTTTAACGTAGCACTGCCAATACGAGTCTCGTATCTGGTAGACTACCTTGATGGCATGATGGCTCCAATGTACTGTTTCATCATCCTACTTATCAACTTAAACGTAAATTACTGAGTTATCGGCCGTAGTCGAATTACAGTCAGGGATGTACCGAGCTGCGAGCTTGCGGTTTCCTAGAAGTATTCAGTTCACCAATCATTTCCTTCCGATCTCGAGAGGTATGACCCTAATGGTGCAATGTAGTCTGCAAACTCAAGGTCGATAAGTCATAGCTCTGAACCGAACTGTACCTCCACAATGGTCTTTGAGGGCGTGTTGCATCAACCCGTGGATTATTAATAAGATTATGGCCAAACAAATGCACTAAAGTAAAAGAGTACCCGATAGACGCTGATCTGATGGAGAAAACGTAAGCAATCATGTGTCCGGAAAGGTGTCGGTAGCACAACAGACAAAAAAACAGTGACTTCATACAATCCCCGTGATGACTTCGATGTTTGACTCACTTGTTGGGCTTTGAGCATCATGTATCGTGTGTTCGGTGGCGGACGACATTCCGCTCGGCTATTCACTCGCCCGAAGAGTGACAAACGACGTGAATAACGAGCGGATGCGGAATTGGAAAACGGGGATGAGGGTGCAGTTCCACTAGATGAGGAAGATGTGGTTGCAGTGCCACCCATCACGGTGTTTGTAGTGCTACTATTTGTCCCGGATGGTCCACTACTACTCGAACTGTTCGCAGCGGCCAGATCGTCCTCGGCCAAAATGATCAGCTCCTGACCAGCCATAGCACCTGATCTACGCTGAGCTGATTGTTGTGATTGGCCAGGTCTTTGTGTACTGGATGAAGATGAACTGGCAGAGGTTTGGATAAGGAACTGATGCTCCTAAATGTGGATAACATGTGGATAACGTGGTTAGATGCATCGGGATGGGATACTATAACAAGATGAACAGCTTCAAATGTCTCAATATTACTATCCATGTGATTAGGGATGTATAAAGTTCGTTAATTTTCCGTTGGAGGAGTGAAAATTCTAGTCGAGGACAACGCGTTACACAGGAAATCTTGCGTAGAATCAACTCAGCAGCGGTTTATGTTTATTCACGTGATAATAACCACAAACGTAAAGCAGCTTCGCATGCTGAAAGCCATAGCAGTGAGTTGTCTCAAACTTTCGAGGATTTTGACAATAGGTCTTAGATTGAAAAATTCGTTAATTAAGATGAAAATATCTATGATCTGGCTACCTACCGGACGGGAAAGGGCCCGTTAAAGGTACTGGATGAAACTCGTTTACCGATGGCTATATAAACATATACATAACAATAAGTGGTACCTGCATGACTGGCCGGTATATGCGTATGTGTGGGTGCACCAGAGCTTGGTTCGAGCTACGCGGAAATCTACACTAATGATGTGTCACTTTTAACTGCCGGTTGTGTCTGCAGTAGTGAACCTGAGGACATGACCTGGGCTGTTTGAGAATCTGACTTTTGTGGAGGAGCATTCGCGCCACCGATCTCTATTCTAAGCCAATTCTAACAGCGTCTCTATCCTATAATAATCCGCATCGTTTGTACTCAAACATGGAGAACGGAGCAGCATCAACCGAAGCTAGTGATGTAACAATTTGTTCTATACCCTAACACCAGGTCCCTACCCTGGTGGCACGATCCTTTTATATGTCCCCCCCCTCCAAGATTTTCTGTTTTAATGTATTTTGCTTCACTTTGTTGCCATGCTAAAGCACAATATATAAACATTGTATTATCTGCGGTATGCACCATGAGATGCCGTGAAATTGTCCAGAACATAAATCACGCAGTATTGCAATAGGGTATTTTCTTCTGAAATTAATCTTAGGAAAGGCTTGCTTCATTTTTCTCAAAACTCTTTGATGACCGACAGATACTGCTCAGGACCACCAATCAGATTCACGACTGACGCCAATCCCAACCTGATCCTCGCGAGTCAGTTCATCACGTGCACTGTACAATCTACGAAGGACGACGGACATTAACAGTGGTAATCAGATTGCGGTTCTTCTGACAGTCGTTTTCATATGGATTATTCAGAAAACACACTGCGACAGTATGAAAACATAAATTTTGTTCTGCTTATAGACCAGAACCATAATTGTCTGTTCCTTGGAATTGAAGTGTATACTGTGCCGATAAGACTGGTCTTACTGTACTACGTACAACCGTGGTCATCGCATCACTATCTTGGTGAAGGCACGTACACAAATGGAGAAGTATTACTGACGACAAAATAAAGAGTGGCCCAAATCTAACATCAATATTGCTAGAAGTAGGCACACGAACTGATTCACGGACAAAAATGACCGGCCTTAAAAAAAGAAACAAATCGTATGAGCATCTGACACTGAACAGGACGGTTTTGTTATTATTATTGTTATTGATTGACCAGATGTCCCAGCTCAAAGTATCAACTGTGGCAAATTGCCACACAGATAGATACACATTTCGTTGATATTTCCTGTCCTTCTATGCGGCACGTTGATGAACTGGCTATTTTAAAAGAACACTTCAGTAACCGTGAGCACCAGGAGAAATTCGATTATTTAGATAATGTAATACACCTCATCGCCATGATTTATTGACTTTTATTGGTGTGCAACACAGTATGCTCTACAGTAAAGCGAGTAGCCCTTCAGCGACGCCAAAAACCAATGCGCAAACCAACTAAAGCGTGTCACATACAACGGTACTGTTCAACTTGGTTACTTCAGCAAGAAACATGATTCCAGAAGGGATAAACTTCATGGATGCCAGTGATCTTCGCTTTTGTAGCCCAAATTTTTTCAGTTTGCATCTGCAAAGATGGCAGTGACAACGCTATAGTGCAAACTGCAACGGTGTGTAGCATTTGTTCCTCTGGTTTAGCGTCTCCAACTGGGGAGTCTGGACAAAGCACACCACGAATGAGCGCTGTAACACTTATGGCCTCATAAATGTATGCTCTTGATTTAGCTCCTCAATTGCGTCATCTTCGATGCACTACTGTCCTGGCCGCTTGGAAAAAGCTGTGATTTTTCCTATTCCCAAACAGGGTGATAATCCTAGCCCGACCAGTTACCGTCGGATTTCCCTCACGTCTGTTATTTCGGGAGTAGTTCTAACCACCACCTCCGACCAACCGTGTGCATTCCACGAGCATAAAGGACTACTGAAAAACCGCCAATATGGTTTCCGGTCGCGGCTTCTAACTGGTGACCTGCACTCATTTCAGACTCCTGGTTGGCCATTATTGATAAACATGGAGAGACGCCATTGGCCTTGCTTCATAACCTTCAACTTAGTTTGGCACGAAGGTTCACTGGTGAAACCGCCAATTTTCGGGTCCCCTCTGGCTTTCGTATCATGGGTATTAAGTTTCATCAGCAAGCGAATCGTTTCCATCCGGGTTGAGAGGATTTATCTCAGCTGTTCCTTGTGAATGTTCCCCAAAGTTCAGCACTCGCGACCACTCACCTTATATGTATCAATAATCTTCTACCCAATACGTTCGACCCGATTTATTCCTTTGCAGATGACGTCACCCTCTGTGGATCTCTCTCTCGCTACACAGTCATGTCAACATCAACACTGATCGTGCCCTAGCATAGTTAATGCATTAATGGACTTCAGCTTTGAATACATTTCCCGAGGCTGGCCCAAATGTTGCATCTATTGATTAAAATACATCTTTTCTTTCAATTTTCTTGATGAACCATTCGTTTCCCCACTTTCATCCTTTGATTCAACTCAGCTGCATTGAACAAACTCTTCCTCTTCCTGGATTACCTACAGGTTATTCGTTATGCTGTTCCCCTTTTACACCTCAAACTACTTCTCTTGTTGAGCCTGGATTTTTATTCCGCTCCAGGCACTTCTTGATCCTTGTTTACCTCCTATGGCGCCAAGGTTATATCTGCCCTGCAATTGACTACTGCAGTCACGTGTGGGGTGGTCCAAAATTTACTATTCTTTCTCATTTTTGTCGGGTCTAATGGAAGGTTATCGGGTTGATCGACAAACCTTCCCTGACCTCCTATCTGCAGTCAGCATTCCAGCGTTGCATAGTTGCTTCGTTGTCCCTTCTCTATTATCACTATTTTGCTTTTTGTACTTTGGAGCTCGCCTGAGCAGCTCCTCCTGTAGTTTTTCCTGCGTCTCCCATACACAGACAGCTAAGGATCTTTATCAGGTTTTCATTACTAAACCTCTAAAAGTCTCAGCACAGTCGAGGGTACCTTGCGTGTGACTGGTCACTCTGTCACTCTGTCCTCATGTGGCCTAGCCATCCATATAATCTTTTCTGAGGTCGCCTTACTCACTGGTTTTATATGGTGCTGCTTCCCCACAGAAGTGTGAGGATGAAAAACAAACCTCGGGCGATAACCGAGTGGGTACTCACTGGCAGTTCATCAAGAGGAGTTGGTTAAAAACCCTGATTCAAAACAAAAAAGAGGCATACGAAAAACGCACACATTTTCCCGGTCGTGGTAATTGTCATCGGCTAGATTGTGTATCGAGGTGTACTGGGTACCTTGGACATTTGACTTAATCTAATGGCCGTATCATCGAATGAACCGGCCAGCAATGGGTTGCGGTTTCCGCACATCGCCCAGCTGCCTTGCGGATCACGGGTGTATTGGGTGCCTGGTAGTAATAGCACCTCTGACTCGGAGGCCTTCAGCCCCTTTGAGGCATCCTCCGTTCTTTGGTCTCCACCAGGCGCTTAGCTCTCACATGGGTAGCTCCAAGAAGCTGTTTGGATGCAACAGCGGTCACACCCTGGTAAACCGCTCGATAGGAGGGCCAAACTAAACCGGAAGCTGAACTCCCGGCGAGTCGGTGTCTAACGTAGGCGTTGGCGGACGAATTCGCTTTAACGACTCAACGATCAAGGCAATGACTCCGTATTCATCAGGAATGCATGAACCCTTGTTCAGCTAGAAACTGTCAATGGCGTATGAGCCCGACCCCAGAAGGTCACCGGCAACCATACACTACCTTCATGATGTCTTCTAGTTAGCATTTGGATGTGCAAAGGCTAGGAATACAACCTCGACCCAAAACCGGGCGATGCTGGGGACGTTTCCTGTACCTAACTCCCAGGAAATTTCATGGATAATCACTTGATATCCATGAAGCCTGCTTATCCTCTCCCATGAGCCAGCGGCCGTAAATCGTACATCGAAACAGGCTTTGGTTAGTTGAAGCCTTCGGTTGTGAACTCCCTACTAGAATTCACCGGCTTTGGCCTAGGTCACCTAGTAATTTGGTGCCCTCGAGCAAATCATGGACTTTTTTCTTTTTTATAAAGATTATTGTACCGTGATTTGTTTGGCACACAGTCTGAACTCAGGTGTGTATGAATATATATATATATATATATATATATATATATATATATTCACGTGTGAATTCACACGTATTATCGCTTGACAACGAGTCCTAGTTTGGATCGAAACGTCACAATAAATACTATCACTCAGTGCTCGCCTTCTCCGTTTCAAAATATATGTTTATTACGTAACTGTGTGATGGAAAACTCTTCCATTAACTGTTTTAATAACTTGTTTGATGAGATTAAACTCAGAAATAACCATGAGGATAACTTACCGTTCCGTTATTTGAGAATTAACCCAGTAACATAAAGTATCTCTGCTTATAGTTATGAGAATGTTAATGCGTTAATGTTAGATGTTGAACACTTAAATCCGGTTTTACGATTAACAAACTGTCTCGTGGAGGCATTCTATGAAAACTCATTTAAACGTTGATATATGAACGTAAAATTCAAAATAAAAACATAAGTCATTTCAGTCATTACTCACTTTGGGAATCAAGTCTCCGGTCTCGCCGGCTGAGGCTAATAAATCAGAATCAGTGACCAAGGTTACTTGGGATGCTGGACGCTTACTGTCCCCAGCCGAACCTGATGGTGCGGTAGAGCTGGCAATTACCACTTTGCCAACCACACCATCTGGACCGGCTTTCTGCCACAATTCGGCTAAATATTTTGGCACTTTGACTAGCCAAACACCATCTTTCGCACGGCTCGTGTCCACCGAATGTAAAGCATGTGCCTCGGCAAAATAGTCCACTCCACTTTTTAATCGAGACATGGATGATTAGCGCAGAAGCTGACGGATTCGTGCTGCGCTGAATTTCAAACGGAAGACCGACGCATTCGTCCTAGCAACTAGACCGTGATCTGAAAGAAACAATACTCCCTCAAATAAGCTTGCACAATCATAAACGATGCACTACAGCAATTCGGTTTTTTTCGTTGTTTCCTTATGTTTGCTTAGATGATCAACCAATAAAGGATTCACAGCAAACAGAATATTCAAACAGAAACAACGGGACATGATAAAACAAAATGCGTGAGGTAAGCCAAAAAAATCGGCTTCGAAACAAATGTGCAAGAACAGAGCCATCACAATGACAGCAATGACAACACTACATCTAATCATTATCAAATAATTCAGCTCAACCGGTAAAACAGATGAAATCCACCTGCGCGCTGATATCGCTGGGAGGGCCTTCTCACCGCTCCGCCGAACGCTATGGGCAAGAAAAGGAATACTAACGAACTACCATCCGTCCTGTCCAGGAATATAGCTAAGAGGTGAGGTCAATAAATCCAGAGACACGAGGTTTTCGATGATTGGTGTATGTGCTACATACCGAAGGTAAAGTGGCACGACCGGCTATCCAACGAAAGTTCGTTGATGGTGCTGTGGTATCGAAACGCTCTATAAATTGTTGCAACATCGCTGTCTCTTGTGCTTCGGCCATGTTCTGCTACCAGTTCCCCTATCGTTTAGAGCGTTACCTAATAGTTCATCTACGATAAAACTTAGCAGGGCTATCAGAAAAGGCCATCATTATCGTGAAGCGAACGTCACTGATAGCTGAAAAGCTCATAATGTACACACACGTTTCCCTGAAGTTGAAAAGTAGGGTATATTGTAAGATCAGTTCTGCTTTACTTCTGAGACCTTGGATTGGCGAGTAGAAGACACTCGTCGCCTAGTGGTTTTCGACAATCGATGTTTACGTAGTCTGGCCCAAGTGGGATGGCATCAACGAGTTAGTAGTCGGGTGTTTGAGAATGCATCGAACACGAGACCGCTAGCGCATCGAATTTAGTTCAATAGGATCCATTGGTTAGGACACGTTTTGTGTCGCCTACCGCACCGCGCTTCACCTGCAGTGGCCGCTCCAGACTGGAGAAAGCCACGTGGAGACCAGCAGATGACGTGGAGATGAGGCATGAAGAAATGCACGGAGCGATTAGGTAGAGTAGATGTCCTTCGGCTTCCGGGTTGGAGTCCAAAAGACTCCGAAACCGCATGGTTGGAGACAATGAAGGTCATGGCTGCGAACCGACAGCAATGGCGATCA